TTTTTTTTTTTTTTTTTTTTTTTTTTTAAATCTCAAAAGTGGATCTCACATGCCTTGCTGGCTCGCCTCTCTCTCTCTCTCTCTCTCGCTCTCTGGAGCAGAGCCCTGGCCTCTTCACTCACCCAGAGTTTAATGATGGATTAGTTAGTGTTACGTATATACTTCACCATTAACTGCACACTGTGACTCAACATAACATTCTGCACTCAAAGCTAACAAATACTCTTCAATGCCATCCTACCATTATTCAATCAAAATCAAGACTAACGAAAAATAAAAGTGTAATCTTTAACTGGAAAAGGTGAGCGCAACCCTTTACTTATTAAGGAGGGTAACACGTGGAAGTGAGTCAGCGTGGGGCATTTTTCATAAAGCCGCTCTGCACCACCATGGATTTCAGCCGTCCCATCTCTTACTCCAGCCACTGGCGGTGAGTTTACTTACCAACCATCCAACTAAGGAATGGGAATCAAAAGTGTAACTATCTTCTTTCTTCATTTTTCAAATGTATAGAATCATTTTCTTTACTTTATAGTTTCTATCTATCTTCTTGTTTCACCTCTCCCACTACTTATGTTAGCTTGGAAGGAAGAATATTGTTGCACACACTCTGTTTGTTTGTTTGGCCCAGCCCATGAACAAATCTCCTTCTCTTCCTTCATTATATAAAGTTTCTTTCTACTCGATTATTGCTTCACAGATGCTACTACACACTACCCTACTGGGGAATATACATGTTTAGAGTTGCAGAAGGCCTTGCTCCTGTTCCTTTTCTTAAACAACCATTTTTTTAAAGCAATTATTGTCTGCAGGTTAAAGGTACATTAAAAGTTTTGAACATGTGTACAAAATACCTTCAGAAAAAAGGTGGTGAACAGTGGAATCGTTTCGTACGGAAACATGGGACTCCCGAGTCTAAGGGACGTACATACATAAGGCTCAAACCAAGTATCGTACACACATGCCTCACAATCCTACGCTGTTATTTCTACAATCCTATTTCTATATCCCCCATGAAGGGCATAAAAAAACCTAACGGAGGCTAACAGAAGGGAGAGACAAGGTACCCACGCTGCTCACGGTTACGGCACTTCCAAATGCTAATAAAAATTATGGACAATGCTACAACTACAAGCCTAACTACAGAAACGTATGAAAGGATTGAAGGTAGCAGTGCCGTCACCAATCTTCTTTTGCCCGTTAAGAAGTCAATCGTTGGGCTATCGCTTGCCACCAACTTTGCACTCACTTCCTGGGAAGCTTTACTACTGCCCACACCTGAATCTGCATCGGGCATCACCTGGGGTTGTTTCACAACATCAACCGTGGCAGCCACAGAACCACCATCACCTCCAGTAGTCTTGTTTTCTGAAGGCTTTTTAACCTGCGAGTCATGTTGATGGCCATTTATAGTATCGCAGCAGTCTGGTATAGTTAGTATAGGTTCCATAATTACATTTCACTTCATCAACTACTTTACCTTGCTTGAGATTGATGGGGGGTCATCATCCTGCCATCGACTACTCTCACTACACGTATTGCTAGAGCATGAAGATGGTGCTACAAGTTTTCTTTGCAGTCGTAGCCTTCTTGGCGCAATCCCCTGAAATGTAGAAAATTCATTTGGTTGCTGCACACTTCTTGGACGGCGACTCATTCTCTGAATTCCAGTTGAAGCATCCGTGTTTCCTACTACAGACAAGTAATTGTATGATTCCTGAAGGCTACCTGATAGATTATAAAGTAGACCTGCCAAAGACATTTAATTTGCATGATAATTTTAACAAGATATGCCATGGACTCGTCGACATTATTGTGAGATGAGAGAGGCAGCAGCACCTTCTTCTGGCGCTGCAGTTCCCATATGATCAATAATAGGAGTCTTCCTGTCAATAACCTCCAGACAAATTGAGCTTTCAAAGTCTGGCATAGCCTGCTTTGAGACAAGAAATTCGCAAGTACAACGAAACTAATTCAAAGCAGAAACAGAAACCATAATGTAAAAAAAATAAGATTATCCTTTAAAAAGAAAAGGCCGCAAGAAAGGTCTCACTAACCAATGCTTTGCCAGTGTCAGCCTCCACTTTGCCGAATGCTCTGTTGTCCAAGCTTGCCATTGAATTGTTAGGAAGCTCACTTAGGGACATGGATTCTTGCTGGTCTTCAAGTGCATAATCATCCGAATTATAGACAAACGAGTCTAGCATCTGATGGATAAAATCGAAATCCTCTGCCCCAATCTGTAATTGCTCTGCATTAGGATTAGCTCCATAGTTCAAGTAATTGCTATCAGAATAGTATAGGCCAGATGATCCTAGCTCAGCTTGCAGCTGCGAATGCAATGGGGAATATAGTTTACTATCAAGTGGTTGGTTCTCGGGACCAGAGAACTTCCTCTCTTCGTCTGGATGAGGATCCATCTGCAACGAGAACTAGACTTAGATCCAATTGATTATGTACAATTTCTTAATATAAAAAAGGAAAGTAAAAGAAAAGAAAGCCTCTCACTTCTACATTATATGAATCAAAACCATGAATGTCAACTGAACCATCAGTATGTTCTACAGTTTCAGATAGCACTCCATCAGAAATTTCAGCCTGCCTTTGCAATGAAGGAGAATCTAAAGGAAGTATTTGTTCTGGATGGGAATCTCCAGGTCCCGGAGATGATTCAGTTGTAGTAGGGGATGAAATAGCAGCTTCAGCTTCATCGCCATTTGACCCCTCGATACTCTCATCCTGTTTCTTAAATAGGCGACAGAGAACGAAGGCATTCTGAAACCAACAACCAAAATAGTATCTTAATTATGAAACAAGGACAATCAGAAATTCGAGAAATAGATTCTACCTGAAAACTGAACACTTAGAATTATAAGGTGTAACGAAAAAAAACTTGGTTGTGCAGAACAAGTATCTCCCACTTGGGATTTTCAACATAAATACAGGATGAAGCAGAGAGTGAGGTGGAAGAAAATCATAATGTTGCGGTAGAGGGAAGTTTACATACTATTAACTAGCATTTCAGAAGCCCTTTAACTAAAAGAAACCATCCATCACAGTTCTGAATGCAGAAAATAGAAAGAGAAATCATTGCCAAGCAACTGTGTTGGATCCTAAACATCGGCATAAAGGAGTGGTCAAATAAGAAAGAACGGTAGTAATGAATTCATCCTGCTAGCCAAATGGAGAAATTAGAAGAAAATCAAACCTGCCCAGGGTTGGTGCCATCAAGTTCTTTAAGAGTGGTACGATACTCATGGACTACCCAATTGGTTCTCTTTCCCTTAGGAGCACGACCTTTGTAGAATACCAATGTCTTCTTCATTCCAATCAATTTCGTGCCAGACTTGATTTTGCGATCCTTACCCGTTGCCTTCCAGAAGCCAGCAACAGTAGCTCTCTTCAAGCGATGCCCGTTAGGATACTTCCTGTCCTGCGGACAAAAGAAGAACCACTCCCGATCCTTCGTCTTTAATATCGACAGATCTGCACCCGACAAAATAGGATGATAAAAGGTGATTGGGTAGAGTAAATCTTGGGGTCAACTGAAGGGATAAGCAGATGAAATTGGATTCAATAAACTAAGAATAAGTAGAAAATAAAAAGGGAAGATGCAGCGAGAAGCGAAAATGGAATAAAATCAAACGATATTCGAGATTTTGGCTGTAAAGAGTAAGGAAATAAGAAGAGGAAGGAAGGTGAGAGAGATAGAGAGCGTACCAGGAAGGTCCCAGGGCTCCCAATTACAGACATCAACTTCGCGTATAACGCAGACATCTTCGTGATTTCCATTGATTTTGGAGCGGAGGTAGTAGTCGATGAGCTCCTCGTCGGTGGGTCTAAATCGGAAGCCCAGGGGGAGGGAATTGAGGGTTAAGACGGCCATCGAAGGAGAAAAGAGGGGGGATGGATTGGCAAAGATAAAGAAGAAAAGGGGGAAGGAAGTAACCGGCCGTCCGGAAAGATTCTTTGTTTTGATAAAGAGTGAGTAACTCAGGGGTGAAAGAAAGTGCGATTTAGTTTTCAGAGAAAATGAAGAAAACTGTAACTAAGAGGGAATTCAATTTTTTATTTTGTTCCTGTAATTTACCAAGATGAAAAACGCGTCTGGCCTACTGTTTATGTTGTTCGTCGGAATAACAACTCTGCCATTGTGTGGACGCGGAAGGGGCGATGGGGAAACCGGGGGTGAAATATCGGAGGCGGACAAATCAAAGTTCGCCACGTTATGTGAAAGCAAGTGATTATGCGTCATTGTCCAGGCCCAACTTATTGTCCCCTCCCCATCCACGCGCGTCTTTCCCGTCGTTCTTTTTTTCTTTTTTTTTTTCTTTCTCAAACAATTAAAATATTCGCTTCATCCTTTCTTTATCATTTTCTTCATCCAACTATAATTTTTCCCTCGCCACATAAAATAGCTTACACAAGTGTACACCCATCACACTCTTACTCAATCATACAAACTTCAACATTAAACGTTTTGCTTTCAATAATTTTAGATGCTAAATTCGAATTCATTATCTAATTTTCTTATCAATTACATCTCCAAAACTGAATTATGATTCTATCTTTTTTTTTTTTGTTTTTTTTATGAACGTGTATACTACACTTCTTGTAGTCGGTCCCGAATGCCTCCCCTGAATTTACTTGCCGGTTTACCCACCACCATACCAGAAGCATCTCATTGTCTAGTTACATTTTTGGGGGTGCTTTGAGACTTTCCTTCACTCGACGCAGTAGAATTCTAAACCAGTAATACACCACAAGTTACCAACGAAGCAAACCGAGTGTTGTTGACTCCCTCAATATGGTATTAAAAACAAACGCTCGTTCATTCATTGGAAGTTTTGGGGCTATTTGGAGGCACAACTTTTTGCTTGTTCATTAAGGAAGACTGTTTGTGCTTGTTCTATTCACCTTTGTTGCGTGTTTTTCAAGAAGCAAAAAAGAGAAGAAAAAAAGTCACTTTTATCAATCACTTTAAAACAAACACATTCATTTGGTTCTTTACAGTGATGACCCTATCTCGTCCTCCATTCCCGACCTAATGAACTGTTTCTATACCAAATACCAAAAGTACTAAGAAGCTGTACATATGTTATACGTCCCGTAAAAAGTACATAAGCAAGGGCCAATTATTTCTGTAACCAATAGCTGTCTCTGTCTGTAGTATGTATCTGTACACATTATGGGCTCTATCCTTCCTTTCACTTGTTCGACAATTGACTGTAGTAGTGTGTAGATGCAGGGATTAAGAGGGGTCGGAGTCTGCTCCCCTAAAATGGATGCGAGCTTGTGGTTGCAGATGTGTTCCTTCCTCCAAGTCCAGGATGGAAAATGAAAATGGTATTGGACGTAAATCAATCTGAGTTGTGTGCGTGCCCAGAAAACTCTCGACGTTTCATCCCTCGAGAGCGAGCATTGCAATTGTGAATTGTGGTTTCCACTTCTTTTTGTATACAGTAACAATTGTATGCTATCAGGATATCAACTGAGAACAGGGCATTCTTATGGGTGCGAACACCACAGTGAGTCGTGCATGATCTGAAAGGGAGTAGTCTTCAGGCCACCTTCCTTTCTCCACTTCAGCAGGAAACAGGACTGCATTCTCAACACTGAAACCAATTGTTTGCTCCTGATTTTCCTTTGATTCAACCTCATTGCCTTTCTCATCCCTCTCCTCGGTCCCAGTAGAATTCCAAATTCTCTGCTGTGTCATGGGATGGTTATACCACAAAACACACCCACCATTACTATCAATATCAATATCCATGCCTGTTTAACTCCTGTCTACTCTAGTTTTTTTAAGTAAAGAAGTTGAACACACTTGAACTGGAAAAGCTTACCTGAAATTCATTATGATCGAGAATGCCATTTCCATCACTGTCTGCTTGTACCCACAAGTCCTTTATCTCTCCAACGCTAAGGCCATGAGGATGACCAGTTAAATTGAGCTGCAGAAAATGATTTAACCATTCACAGTTTTTCAATTCAAACCAATGAGGATAGTTTTCCCGAGGGAAGGCCCCAAACAAATTCAACATACAGTTTTCAAAACTTAAATCAGCAAGCCTCAGCATCTACCTGTCGAAGTGCCTCACAGAAACCAGAGTAGGTTATATAGTCACCATCATTGTCCGCCTTCAGAAAGGCAAATGCATCATCCTCTGTCAGCGAAGCTCTTCGAAGCAGATACTGAAAATAATAAGATGGTATTAGAATTGGAGAAAGAAAACAACTTGGTACTCACACCAATGTTTAAGTACTCGAGTGTTGTTCTATATACACTCATGAATTAAGCAAAAAGCCAACATGAACATAATTCAAATCTTCATCTCTCACATTTGTTGTATTGAAAAAGGAAGCAGAAAAATGTCCATGGTTGAGCATACAACAACCTAACAGATGGCGACGAATTCAAAAATCATACATGGAAATGCAATGAAAGATAAGCAGGAAACTATCGCCCAAGACAGATAAGTTGCAAATATTGTTATAAATTGAAAGTCACAGCAATTAGTTTGGGAGAAGAAGAATTTTTTACCTTGAACATGCCAAAAACAGCTTCACTCCAGCTTGTTTTTAGCAATTTTCTGTAACCGTTCGGATTTAAAAGCCATATGAAGTCAACCCCGCAAATGTTTCCCCGATGATTCCGGTGACTCACCCACTGGTTTACACACAAGAAAGAGAGGCACGACCCAAGTTAGAAAAATAGTCAACGTTGACTATTTATTTTTTTATATGAGGAACGTAGTTGAAGATGCTAACCTTGCGTGCATCTGCATCTGCGTATTGGTGAGCCGTGTCATATGACGATACAAACCCCTGCGACCTAAGAAACTTGTACACATGTCCACGTTTGCTTCCATTCCAGTCACTAAACAAAAAAACAAGCATTCAGAAAGACCTTCTTAAAAGTACCATGTTGTTCTAGTCGAAGCAGATAGCAAGAGATTGACTGTCTGGAAGGGAACAAAATTACAACAAAGAATTAAGAAGGAAGGGAACGAAACTTACCCGCAAAGTATGATGGGCATGGGATTGAGTTTGTTTTCCTTCTGATAAGATTCAACGTATTGCAGGATTTTGTATACCTGAAGGACATGGAAGAATAAGGTTGAAATCTTTAGGAATTGGAATTGGAATTGGAAGCAGTGAAAAGTTGCACAAATGCAAAGAGAAGAGCACCTACTTGATTCAACCGGACAAGACAGAGACTAGAATCATGAGGAAATAACAAGTGAGTGTTGACAATGAGAATTTCCTGTCGAATATCATTGTTTCGGCACTGTGAAAACGGAACTGCTAATTCAACATGTAATAGCTGCGCAACACGGTCTCCGCAATCGTGAAATAGCAGCTCTCGGTAGTTTACCACTCTAAAATAATCCTTATGCACCGCAGTCAACAAACCTGAAGATTCAGATCCAATCAACCTCAATTTGAAAAGAATTAACAGGCAGAATTCCGAAGAAACATAATACGAACAGAGAAGGCCTGCTTCCAAATGAGGACTAGGAGGAGACCATAATCTAATAGTATTCACGAAATCCTCTTACAAAAACAAACTCATTGCCTAGTCTTGAAAAACCTTGATGCAGAATCTAATATTCACGAAATCCTATCCTCTTAAAAAACCTTGATGCGGATACGTCTGAATGATGAGTGTTGAGTAAAAGAGGGAAAACGTACCATCGCCACGGTTATTGGTCCGAGCAAGCTTGAAACTGATATAACCGGCATTGCGGAGTCTGTTTTCGTATATATTTACAAGTTCTTCGTTTCCAACCCAGAATTCCTGCCCAAGGCCAGAGTTGAAAAGCAAATAGGACGCACACATCAACGGCCTCGTTTGTGAAAGGATAAAATCAGAAAGAAACGTGAATGCTTGCGACTCGATCTAGAAAAAAGAAATCCGAACCTGAAGGCAGATAATGGAAGATTTCTCATACAAGAGCCAATCGAGAATTCTCTGGTTTCTGGCTAGCCAGTATGTCCTGTAATCGCTTTCGCGGCAACTGGGATCCTGTTTTGCATCCATCCATCCATGGATCCGTTAGAATCCGAATAATCGAAGGGAGATGAAAAATTGAAAAAGAAAAAGAGAGGAGGAATCGAACCTGTTGATTGAGACGCTTGTAAATGGGAGCGAGTATATTAAAGGTAGTGCAGGTGATGGAAGGGCGCTGATGGTGGTGGTCTTTGATGGAAGATGCAATGGCGTAACTCCCAATCATCGAAATCCTTCCTTTCATCTTCTTATCGCGTCGTCTCTCCTTTCTCATTCTTGACTCCTCGCCCTCCAGCGTTGGATCCAATTATATAACAAAAACCCACCCGCGTACAAATATTTGTCTTTTTCCTTTTCCTTTTCTTTTCTAAACAAATGCGGTTGATAGGAAGTGGAAGAACGACGGAATAGAAAGAAGAAAAAGAAAAAGGGAGTTTTGCCGGAGCGTTATCGCCAAGCGAGAGGGGGATGAATGAATGAATGAACGAACGAACGAAGAACAGGGGAGCGGGAGAGAGGGAGGGAGGTTATGACTCTTATTTCATCGTGCCCAAATAATAATGTAAATAAGAAAACGAAGAAAAGGGGGAAAAGATATAAACCCTAAGAGAAAATGGCGTATGCCTATTTATAATCCCTCCCAACTCCTCATATTTCTCTACTTCTCCTGCCGCAGTTTTGCATATAAATAAATACACCTTTATTTCATTTCACTGCCTTTAATTAATTTGTTGGATTCGGTTACAGCGCCGAAAGTGAGTACGAAGTCAGAAGTATAATATTCTTTTCCATTTATATATATATATATATATGCTATGCTATGATATGCTGTGATAAAGAAGAAGATGCAACAATATCACGTCTTTCCCCCCAAAATCTTTGTGAAGCTAGCTACGAGTAGGAGCGAGTGAGCAGTGAGTGGTGGAGTTTGGTGGTTGGATTTGGTAATGCAGAATCCAAGGCTCACAGGAAACCGGGAATTCCAACCCCTACCGCTGCTTTAGGGGATCCTATTACCCTATATTTGCCTCAAATTCGTTATTTTTTTCAATTCTTTTGTGTGGCCATAATATTGTTCCTTTTATTGGCCGCTTTGTAAGACCGAATAAGATAATACAACCATTCGTGCATACGCATACGCATCCA